ATAATACCACCTGGTACACTATTACTCAATCCACCACATTGATTGGTACCTTTAGACCATAAGCAAATGTATGGATCAAAATCATTATCAGCTACATTGATTTTAATTGAATAACTAATTTTATTTCTCAATCGATAGATTGGTAACATAGTAATAACAGGTGCATTATTATATCGACCAGTATCGATCCGTTTAAGAGTCTGAATTTGAACAGCTACACTCCATGTTAAACTAATTCCTGTTACAAGATCGAACCATGCCGAACCAGAGAATGCTGCTATAAAACTAGAATTGCGTGGTACTGAAATTCTAAAACGTCCTTCACCCATTGCATATTGTTCGGCAATATTGTAACCTGTGCAAGGAACTTGAACATTTCCAAGTGTTGATAAACCTGTTGGACACGTACTAACACAAGTAATATAACCTGCAGCTAAAAGAGGCTGTCCATTTGGAATAGTTGCATCTGTACAATATGGAGCAGAGTAATCGTATCGCCAAGCATAGCGTTGAAGAATTTCAACAGAAACAGACGAAGATGTTTCATTGACTATTCGCCAAGATATCATTGAACCACGATAATGACTTGCTTGAATAATATGAGATACATAAAATATAGAGATGAAGATTAGATAAGAATATTTCAAATACATGTCTTTTGTAAGAAAAAAATATGAATGAAGTATTGTACACTCAGAGATTATTGTATGGACGTCTTTCAATTTCGAAAAAGTGCATCGTACTTTATTTGCGAGCAACAAGCTCAGTTAATTGTAAATATATAAATGTAGGATTTCGATGTGAAGTTCTACATTATCATTCTTGATTAAAACAAATCAACGATTTCCTATGATTTCATCGTAGAATAAAGAAAGTATGATAGAGTATAAAAAAATATAATTAATTCAATTGAGTTTATTTATCAACATAGACAAAATAAACTTCGTAGGATGTATTATTGATTGGCTTCGAAAAATTCCCCGAATAAGAAATAAAAAGTATAGAGAATAGGACATTAATTTAACGAATAAGATCATTTTGAGTACTAATTCGATCAGGATGTGTTAAAGATAAAATTTTTGTACAAATCAAACTTGCGTTTTCATAATTTATGTTTGCTTCATTAAAATCTTGTTTAGTTTCATAAACAATACCTATATTCATCAGTAATCTAGCTATTGAAGGATGTCCAGGTGTAAGACTTTTACTTAAAATTTCATATGATAATTGATACATATCTAATGCTTGGTCATAGTCATGAAAATAATAATGAATATTACCAAGATTATTATATGTATTACTTAAACAAGGATGTTTACGTGGAAGATATTTTAATTTAATATTTAATGCTTTGTTAAGATAATCACGAGCTTTATCGTATTCTTTTTTATCTTCATAAATAGCGCCTAAATTATTATAACACCATGCTAGAGTCTGTTCATTGCGATTGGATTGTTGTTGAAAAATTGTTAATACTTTTTCATAGGATTGTAATGCTTGTTTAATATCACCTTTTTTTTGTTGAGCTTCACCAATACCATTCTAAAGATATCCAAAAACAAGTAATCCTCGACTATTTAAACTATATTGATTTTGTAAATGATGAAATGTATTATGTAAATCATAATCAATATTACCATATAAATCCATTTCAATATGCCATATATGATTTTCACCAAGATAAATATTTTTTAAATAGAAAACTGATCCAAGTGTCATTAAAAATTCTTCTTCGGGGAAATAACTAAATTTTGAAAGATCAGCAAATGGTTTAACACGATCTTTACTAGGATCAGCATCGATTTCAAATAAAACTCTTTCATATG